AGCTAGTAGTAACAGGCTTAGAGAAGCCTAGGAAGCAGAAGAAGATCTAACCTAGCAATTATAAGTAGGTTACCCTAGTACAAGGCGTTAGGTTAACAGGGAAGGTTATCCTACTATTCCTTATCCTTACAGGCAAGGTTCTTATCTCTAACTAGTTTACTAAGGACCTCCTACAGGACTAGGTTATTAATATTAGTCCTACTAGCTAGACTAACAATAATCTAGTGCTTACCTAGCTCTACTACTTCAATACGCATGCGAAGCTAGTTAGGGTCTACCAGCTACTTATTATTAATAGCTATAAGAGCTACTGCTTAGTGGCTTTCCAAGATCTCTGCAGAGAGAAGAAGATAATCACTCTCTGTATGCCCCCGCACTTGTCGCACCTGTTGCAGCCACTTAACGTCGCCTGCTTCTCGCCACTAAAGCGCCTGTATAGCGACAAGGTTTCAGCCTTAGCACGCAGTCACATCCACTATATTAACAAGGAAACCTTCCTGCTAGCCTTTAAATTAGCGTTAAGTAAGGCGTTCACTAGAGAGAATGTTTGCGCAGGCTTTAGAGGTGCTAGGCTAGTCCTACACAACCTAGAGGTGGTGTTATCAAAGCTTAATGTGCGCCTGCGCACGCCAACGCCACTAAAACCTAGCAACATCGCCTAGGAGCTAAAGACACCACGCACTGCTTACAAAGTAGAGGAGCAGTTAACTCTAATTTAAAAGTAGATTTAAATCTATTAAGGGTCTCTAGCAAGTTTGTTAGATAAGTAGGTTAAATAGTTAGCAAAGGGCGCTTAGCAGATAGCTTATAATATAGTGTTAATATAGGAGGAAATAGGCTGCCTTTAAGATACTATAGAAGCGTCTACAAAGTATAAGACCTATAAGTAATAATATATACGCGCAGAGGAGACCCTTATAGTTAGCAAAGTAGCTAACTTAATTACTAAAAAGGAGGGTAGAGGTTATAGTGAGGGCAAGATGCCTGCAAAGAGGGTGCGTGTTAGATAACACTGTAGGCGTTATGGTGAGATTAGACATAATTCCTACACTTGTAAGGTAGAAATAGAGGACATAGATAATAGTAAAGCTTCTAAATAATACTATCTAGGCCTGCAAACAATTATTTATTCGTGTTGTGTTGTGATATAGCGCTGCGCAGGCGTTCTGTTGTTGAAAGTGCGGCGCTCGGTTGGGTGCGGCGCTCGCTTGTGAAACACGTTACTTGAATAACCTAATTGCGTAGGAGGTCCTTAGTAAACCAGTTAGAGATAAGAACCTTACTAGCAAAGATAAGGAAGGGTAGGATAACACACCCTGTTGCGCTGATGCCCTGTATTAACATTGTCCACTTGCGATTACTAGGCTAAAGCTTCTTTGCTTTCCTAGGTTTCTCTATGCCTGTCACAACAAGTTATAAAGATATCTTGCCTATTAGGAAGCTAGACTTGTTAAAGTTATACATGTTATTGTCTACAATACCATACTTCGCCTTTATGTTCTAAACTAGCGTGAACTAGGGCTTAATGATTGCTGGGTCTTTGCAGAGAGCTTGCTAGTAATTGTATGGACAAGTCTAGCGCGTGCGCAGCTTAGGTGTACGCTTAATAAACCTGTTAACCCAGCATTTACTAACAGGCTTACTGCCGCGGTCGCGCAGCAGTCTATCAGCCATATCTTGTACGTGTAGCTTTAAGGGCGGTACTCCATGTAGGTTCTTATCAAGTATACGCTGCAGAATTACCTCCTCTTCTAGCTTTGTTAGGTGCTTTGATCTGGGCTCGCAGTCGCGTCTAGAGGGCTTCCTGTCACGTTGTTGTTGTATTGTCCTACAAGGAACGCTGTAAACTGCCTTAGCACATCACAGGCTCGTAATCTGGTTGCATTTAATATTAGAGAGGGCAAGCTGCACGTCAGCTTCAGTATAGGGCTTGTGAGGTTGTGGTTGTTGAGACATTACGCGTTAAGTGTCGCGCATGCGCTTTGCTGGTGTTCGTGGGGCGCTCACTGAGGTGGGGCGCTCACTGATAAAACAGGTTACCTTAACAATATCCTTATCTACTCTAACAACCCTAGGACTTACTAGTTACATGTTAAGAAAGTTTTAGAGAGGTTGTAAATTGCAGGACTCTAGGCTAATATTAAGAAAAGCAAGTTCTATGTTACAAGGACAAAGTATCTAGGTTATATCCTTACTAACTAAGGAATTAAGGTTCACCCTTACAAAGTAGAAGCCTTATAAAACTAGGAGCAACCTATAACTATTACTAGTATGAAATTGTTTCTAGGATTTACAGGTTTCTTTTAACAATTTGTACCTAATTTCTCTTGCGTAGCTAAGCTGCTATCTGTATTATAAAGCCCCTCTATCCCCTTTAACTGGACCACAGAGTGCAATGTTGCTTTTGAGCACCTAAAAGCGGCCTTACTGTCAATTCTAACCCTGTGCCATTTTGACCCTAAGTATAATACAAAACTAGAGACTAACACCTCTAATAGTGTGGTTACAGGAGTACTATTGCAAAAACACCCTAATAGAAAATAGTACCTAGTTGCGTTCTACAGCTAAGTCTTATCTAGTTTAGAGCTAAACTAGGAGATACACAATAAGGAGTTGTTTGCCATACACTAAGCTTTTTGCAAGTAGAGAGCAGAACTAACAAGTGCCTAATCTTGCGTCTAAGTGTTCTCTAACTATAGAGCACTAGAGTACTTTTTAACAACTAAAGTACTTAGTGCAAGACAAGTTTGTTAGGCAGAGACTATGGCCCTGTTTAACTTCTAAATTAAGTATACTCTAGGTGCTAGCAACGCTAGAGCAGACATCTTAAGCCGTAGGGAACAAGATCTAAGTGACTTACAGGTTGCCCAGTAAGACAATTGTTCACGCGTTTTCCTAGGCCTAAATTAACTCAACACTTGTATCAACTCTAATCTTGCCTAGAAGTACATAGGAGATCAACAACCTAACGCCTAAATCCACGTGCTTAGTACTAGCAAGCGCCATATAGACCTAGACTTGTTAGAATTAATTAAAGTGTTACTACAGGACAACTACGCTAGATTTAGTCTAGAACGCGAAAGTTTGCCTAACTAGTATCGCGTTAGTAATAGACTATTACTCTACAAGGATTGTCTCTGTGTTTAGGCAGACTCTTCCCTCTATACATAGTTAATTTAGGAGGTCTATAACTAAGTATTATCTGCGTATCTAAGTATAAAGAAGACTTATTAGTTACTATCTAAGAAATATTACTAGAAAGGTATAACGTACTGTTGCAGCCAAAATAGAGGCAAAATGTACATACATTTGCATCCCTGAATTGGCTGGTAAATAGGCATGATATCTGCTGCGACACACCCCCTCACGTCCAACCAGGACAGCATAATTAGAGGTGACACAACGCAGCAGAATGCCTAATGTGCTGAGTAATAGATAAATCCTTCTTCGCAATGCTCTATTGCTGCAGATAGCACGCCAACAGAGCAGGTACTATGCCAAGACCCTCGGCTATGGTCACCCATGGAACACGAGAATCCATTCAATCTTTGCTTGCGCAGTTTCAGCGTCCGGGCTCATAACTGTTGCAGCCAAAAT